TGGAGTATCACCATAATATCTTTCGATGGAATATGAAACAGGTTGAGTAATGGAAGGAGTGGGAGTAGGAGTAGGAGTAGGAGTGGGTGTTGGTGTAGGCGTTGTAGGCTTGGGCGTAGGAGTGGGAGTAGGAGTAGGTGTAGGTGTAGGCGTTGTAGGCTTGGGCGTTGGTGTGGGTGTGGGAGTAGGTGTTGGAGTTGTAGGCTTGGGCGTGGGTGTAGGTGTTGGAGTAGGAGTAGGAGTAGGAGGCTGGGTAGTTGGCTTGGGAGTAGGAGTGGGCGTGGGTGTAGGAGTAGGAGTAGGAGTAGGAGTAGGAGTAGGAGTAGGAGGCTGAGTTGTAGGAGGCTGAGTAGTTGGTACTGGAGTCGTCGGAGTTGCAGTAGTTGGTGGAGGAAGTGTAGTGGGAAGAGGAGTGGGCGTAGGAGTAGGAGTCACAACAGGATTGATTGGTACAATAACCACAGGGTTCTCATGTCCTACGTTATTCTCAATCGTTGTCTGGATATGGGTCACAATGTCCATCGGAATTTCCACCATATACTCAACTCTCTCCACATTGCTCATGGAATAAGCTCCCAATTCCAGTGTGAAATTCGAACTGATCTGAGTCACAGACATCGCCATAAAGTTCAACAGAGATTGTATTCCGACATTCATAAGCATCAGATTCGGAGTATTCAGTATGAAGTATCCATTCATTTCCATCAAGCGACGTGAGGATGCTAGGCCGGACATAGTGCTATCAGCAATTAAGAAACTATTCAGAATGGGACAAGAAATATTGAAGGAAGACATAATAGGGAATGCATTGTCTTCGATAATCAGATCTCTTAGATATTGATAAGCAAGTGTCAGTTCTTCAACATCGCTAGGATTAAAGTGCTTGAATCTCAGTTTGGATACTATATCAGGTATTTCTCTGATGTCCTTCTTCACATCAAAGCAAATGACTTCTGGAGGTACCGACAGTAGTTTCATCGATATCGCATATCCAGCAATTCCAGCATAGTTCGCGTTTGTATCATTATCCACAACAGGGAGATTCATCTCGATATTCTCGCAAGGCACCACGTTGAAAGTCACGGTCCATTTCTTTTCATCGAATCCCTTCATCACACCATACAGAGAAGGCTGCTGCGTAGCTCCGGTGTAAATGTCATCACCTGTCACATCGTTCACAGTCTTCATTCGAACCAGGTCGAGAGCCATCAGCACAATCACAGGATTGCCCTCAGCAATAAACTTCATCAATCCACTCTTGTTCGGAATATCGTTCTTCTCCACTTCAAAATAGAACTTGGGAGTATTCGCTGAACATAGCTCGTTTTCATCAAGCAATCCAGCAACGGCTTCGCTCATCAGTCCTTTCTCTGTCACAAATGCAATGATATCAGAAGGAGTAACATCGTTCGGTTCAATTTCTTGGCTGTATGGAAGGCACTGGATAACATACGACAAGGACAACGGTTCATCATATCCTCTTTTCTTCAAAACAGTTTCTGCAGCAAAGATCAACGCACTTGCCCATGAAGTAGCCTTCGAATTGGAAGTCGAATATTTCTCAGCTCCAGAACATAAGTCACGATTAACAATAGTTCCTGTCCAAGGTGCAGGCACATCATCCTCAGGATCAGCATAAGAACCTTCTCCAGAATACTTCATGCCGAGATTCATCATCTGGTTCAAGTCTTCATCACTAAAATCAGACAGAATAGAGAAATTCATGGGATAGTGTCTATATTCAGCCTTTCTCTCGATATCCAAACAGGCTTGTTTCCAGTCATTGAAATGATCCCTATGTATTGTAATTACTGAATAGTATTACATTGGAAATTCCGAAGTCACCGATCCGTACTTGGAAGGATAAGCACTTAAGTAGTCAAAATAGCCAGTTGGATCGCATGAATAAGTCGCAGAGGCATAGATTAGCTGTAAGATGACTGATAATACAAGAATCGCTCTCATATCCAGAAAATAAATAAACATACAAAATAACAAAAATGCAATAGTTCGATTTTTAGCATTTCCATAAGTCTCCACTAATAATGGACAGGTGAAAGATGATCGATTTGGTGTGAAATATAAATAATAATAACTCATTAGTCATGCACTGCTTCTTTTAACAATGTTGTCTGTTCTTATTGTTGAGATATGAGAGTATATGTGTTTCTTTCTTCTGGAAGGTATGACAAAATCAATCCTCAATGAACGAGATCGCATTGAAAAGAACGAATATGGAGCGATTGTACAAAAGTATAGTAATTAGTAACTGCTGCCCAAGTTCCCACATTCTTTCCATTTGATTCAACCATATTGATATAAATGCTTCTAGATACAATCTGATATAGAAAGCAGGAAGGACTATGGAACATGCTTCAAAACTCTGTTTTTCTCCTCAAATGCAATTTCTTCACACCATTAGAATAAACCACCACCACCAATTTCTATCTAGTTATCCAACTACGACTCTTTTCGACACATATCCTATTGAACATTCACTCTCCCACTCTCTCGACCACCCCTCCTCCAGAAAACACTCCCCTCCAATTATCTAACCCACACACCCACACAAAAATCTCCCAACAAACACTCCTAATTACAACAACACAGTTACAATAAACGATTAATACACACGCGCCTTGGGCGGAATGGGCTTCACTTCGTTCTCGTCCAGCGTGTTCATATGCACGGGACGGTACATCAGCTTGGTGGTTCCCGTTCCAAACAGAGCGTCGTCGTGGTAGGCGACGGTGTGCTTCAACCAGTTCACGTCATCGCGCTCCTTGTAGTCCTCGCGCGCGTGGGCTCCACGCGACTCCTTGCGCGCCTCGGCGGCGATCATGGTGCAGTGTGCCTGCTCGAGGAGATTCTGGAGCTCGAGCGTCTCGATGAGATCGGTGTTCCAGATCATGGAGCGATCGGTGATGCCCACGTCGCGGATCTCCTTCACCACCTCGTTCATGCGCTTGCATCCCTCCTGCAGCGTCTCCTCCGTGCGGAACACCGCCGCGTAGTCCTGCATGGTGCGCTGCATGCGCAGTCGCAGCTGCGCGGTGGGGATGGCGCCCTTCGCGTAGCGCAGGCGGTCCAGGTTCTCCAGACAGGCCTTGCCGGCGTCCGCGGGCAGCGGGGTCTTCGCCTCGCCGGGCTTGCTGATCTCGTTGATGTAGTTCGCGCAGGCGCGGCCGAACACCACGATGTCCAGCAGGGAGTTCGCGCCCAGGCGGTTGGCGCCGTGCACCGACGTGCAGGCCGCCTCGCCGGCGCACCAGAGTCCGGGCACCACCTTCTCCGTGTCCTGCTCCGTGGGCTTCAGCACCTGGCCGTGGTAGTTCGTGGGCAGGCCGCCCATGTTGTAGTGCACCGTGGGCAGCACCGGCACCGGCTCCTTCGTCACGTCCACGCCCGCGAAGATCATGGCCGTCTCGGAAATGCCCGGCAGGCGCTCCGCCAGCAGGTCGGCGGGCAGGTGGTCCAGGTGCAGGTAGATGTGGTCCTTCAGCTTGCCCACGCCGCGGCCCTCGCGGATCTCCATCGTCATCGCGCGCGACACCACGTCGCGGCACGCCAGGTCCTTCGCCGTCGGCGCGTACCGCTCCATGAAGCGCTCGCCCTCGCTGTTGCGCAGCACGCCGCCCTCGCCGCGGCAGCCCTCCGTCATCAGGCAGCCCACGCCGTAGATGCCCGTCGGGTGGAACTGCACGAACTCGGGGTCCTCCAGCGGAATGCCCGCGCGCAGCGCCATCGCCGTGCCGTCTCCCGTGCACGTGTGCGCAGACGTCGCAGAGAAGTAGCAGCGACCGTAGCCGCCGGTGGTGATGATGGTCTGCTTGCAGTGGAAGCGATGGATCGACCCGTCCTCCAGGCACAGCGCCATCACGCCCACGCACTCGTCGCCGTTCATGATCAGATCCAGCGCGTGGTACTCGATGAAGTACGACGTGTTGTACGCCAGAGACCGCCCGTACAGCGTGTGCAGCATCGCGTGGCCCGTTCGGTCCGCAGCCGCAGCCGTGCGGTACGCCTGGCCGCCCTCGCCGTAGTTCTTCGTCTGACCACCGAACGCGCGCTGGTAGATCTTGCCGTTCTCGCAACGGCTGAACGGAAGACCGTACGCCTCCAGCTCGCGCACAGCACGCGGAGCCTCGCGGCACATGTAGTGAATCGCGTCCTGGTCACCCAGCCAGTCCGAACCCTTCACCGTGTCGTAGAAGTGCCAACGCCAGTCGTCCTCGTGCTGCACCTTCAGAATCAACGCACGAACCTCCTACCATGTTGCCGAGAGCAGCGTTCACGCCTCCCTGGGCAGCGACGGTGTGAGAACGCGTGGGGAACAGTTTGGTAATCACGGCGGTCTTGAATCCCTGTGCGTCAGCAAAATCACAGAAAAGCCAATACGTATTCAGAAAGACCCATAGCGGCACGCAGACCCGCACCTCCAGCACCGACAACCACGCAGTCGTACTCGTGGTCCACTACAAGCTAACTTGGCTACCCACAGTGCAAACCAATAGGATAAGCAGTGCCCAGATCCTTCGTGACCTTAGCATCTGCAGTATTACCAACTACAGCGGAACGGCAGGCAGTAGCTCGGAATGCTCTTGTCAGAGCCGGAGCAGTTTTTCCCATAATTCTGAAACTGGGCAGCATTTAGATGTACTGTTCAAAAGAATGAATCTCTGTTTTCTTGACGAAATACCTTCGCTTTTTCCTCCACGATAGAATCTGAATCAGAATATGGTTGATTAAATTGAGCGATCTATCTTGATTAGATTCTGCCGTGATAACTTGTATTGATTTGCTCTCACCCATAGATGCATGTGGAAACGAAATATCATTGCGATGCATATCCATGGTATCCTAGTTGCTGAATAGGAAATCCGTCAACAGTCACTAATTTGCTAATTCCAAAAATCCGAACGATTATTGTTTTAACGTATTATTCTATCTTTCTCTGTTGGAATCTTGCTATCTTTCTATTTTTCAGTTTGTAACATACAATGAATTCTACAGACATTGATGGATTAGACACATCAGGTGATTCAAGACGGTTGAGAAGTATCTCACTCTATAAGCAAGCCTATGGCGACAAGGTTCGTCTCCTTGCAGAGGATGCAAAGAGCAATGAATTTGTAACCAACGCAGATTTGCTTTCAGCGGAAAACTCTTCTTCTGTATTCAAACGAACGAAGGGAGGGAAGTCGAAACGAACTTTAAATGCTTCCCGTGAATTTGGATGCTGGGTGCTGAAAGTGAAGAATGCCTCGCTTTCAAAGAAGAAGGTAAGGGTTTTAATACTCAAGTTATCTGTAGCTTGTATATCAAGAACGTTATCTCTATTTAAAGGATGATGTCCTTTATTACTCTCATAGTGAATTTAATCCGGAGGTTTCAATTCGTCACTGCCGAGCAATCCAGCTCAGCGCCACGTTGGAGTTTAATTCACCCTCCAGGCTGGACAACCCTCAGATCCAATCTCACAAGTCGATTGATCTGCAGGTGGGCGACCGAATGATCACCTTCGTAGCGGATGAAAAGTTGGCAAACTCCAGCAGCTTCATCGTGACTGTGCTTGTTATGATACTTTTGTAATTTCTAGTTAATTACCACGCTCCAACACATGAAAGAATTGGTCAGTCCTCCCGAAGACATGAGCGAGCTCAACAAGATGTACATCGAAGCACTGGAATCGCTCGGAATTCCGGAAGAACGATGGGATTTGATGGTAGAAAAGGAACCCAAGGAGCGAAAATGGATTTTAATTACGCAAAACCGGCAAAACGCGATTTCGGGCGATGTGCTGGTGCAAACCTGCGTGGATCTGCTGAACCAGGTGAGTTTGGTTTGCCTCTTTTCATCAACAGCCCGATTTGGAAATCAGCGAAATCCGAGAGATCCGCATCATCATCGGAACTTCGCCCAAAGCGTTTCTGGAAAAGTTCCGAGACCTTCATGGCTTCCACCGAATCCAGCAAATCATGCTCTCCATCGCGCTGAATCCAAATCGAACCCGAGCCGATCTGCTCAAGCTGCACGAAGTGCTTCCGATGGTTCGATCGATTCTCAAAACGCACGACATGCTAATGTGGCTTCTGGATGTCGAGGATTTTGTCTACACGCTGCTTCTCTGCGCGTTCCTTCGACAGCCCGCCATCACGCAAAAGATTTTCATGTATCTAACGATCATCTCGCGGAGCTCGCGCGGTCACGAGCAGGTGCTGCGCGCTATCGACGAAATGATGCTGTTCGCGCAGGAGAAGGTGCGATTCCAGTCGATTCTCTCGCTGCTGAGCATCAGTCAGGATATTGATACGGTGACGAACATTCTGGTCTTTTTGAATGTGCTGATTCAGCAGTCGGAAAGCATTGCCGTGAAGATGGCTGTAGGCTTGGCGCTATAAGTTGAAAGTAGATCTACACCGATTTGTTCACGCTTGGCTACGATGGAATGCATGAGTCGTTGCTGCAGCGTTATCCCTCCGCTGCGGAAGAAATCACCAATATTTTTGGCAATTTCATTCAGAACATGCAGGAAGACCGAGAAGCCGCGGTGTTCAGCGGCGTGGACTGCAGCGACGTGGTGGATATGATTCGTCTGGGATGGGGAACGCGCCTGACTTGTAGAAGTGATTCAGAAGCAGACGCAGGACGGTTCGAACTGGGAGTATTTGTGCAATTTGTTGCGCATTTTGCTTGTGATTCCGCACGATTCGCTCGTGGGAAAAAGCATGTGGAAGCTGATTGTTCGCACGACGAACTCGGTGGTTACGACGAACTATTATCAGGACCGTGAATACGTCACAGACGAAGAACTGAAAGATCTGATCAACCAGCGCGACATTCTGAACGAGAAGTACGAAATGGTTCGGATCAAGGAAGACATGGAGGACCACTACAAGGAGCAGATTCGGGAGCTCCAGCAGCAAATCAAGCAGCCGCTTATGGCGCACACTTCCTCCGAATACATCAACAAACTCGTGGGCGATATCATTTCCCAGATTTCCAACGATATGGATCTCCGCTTCATGCGAGATGATCCAGTGTACAGCAAGTACTTCGCCATGTTTGAAAGCGGCGTCGCTCTCGACGATGTGGCGATGGTCTGTCGACAGGAAGGAAACGACGAGCAGGTCGTTCGCGGTCCCGCGATCATTCTCTCCTATAAAGATGACATTCTGCAGCGCCTTCAAGCCAAGGGAGTGATCCCCGCTGTGATTCCTGCAGGCTCCCAAGGTGGCGCTGCCGCTGCTTCGGGTGCGGCTGCCGCTCCACAGCCGCAGTACGATCCGAACAACCCTCGAAACAATCCGGAATACGCAAAGTGGTTCAAACTGCTCGACATGCACATTCCCAAGGAGCATTTGATTATCAAGATGGAGCAGGAGGGCGTTGACCCGTCGATTCTCGACTACGAATCTCCCGGTGGCGCGCAGCCATCGCGAAACGACGAGCCCGCAGCGGAATCATGGAGACCTGCGTCCTCAACAGCCGCTTCGAAGCCCAAACCGAAAGCTGTTCCGATCATTACGGAAAAGAAGGCGGAGCTGCGGCGTCGCCAGCTGCATATCGTGCCTGAAAATCGTATGAAGAACTTGTATTGGGATTGCATCGACAACAACGCGATCGAAGGAAGCGTGTGGGAGAAAATGCACGCGACGGTGGAGAAGGAAATCGACTACAGAGAGTTGGAGACGCTGTTTGCTGCGAAGGAAAACACGTTTTTGCTCTCCCAATCGAAGCAGGAAGCCGCGAAATCGACCGAGCAGGAAGAGCAAGTGCAGCTGATTCGCGATGAGAAGCGACTTCGGAATGTGGGAATGGCGATCGTGCGCCTGAAGCCGAAGATCGAAGACATCCGCGATGCGATTATCGAAGTGGACGATGCGATTCTGGATGATGAGATGGTTCGAATCCTGGTGTCCAATGCTCCGACCCAAGAAGAAATCGAGATCGTGAAGGGCTACGACGGGGATCTGAGCGTGCTGAACGAAGTCGATCGATTTTTCAAGGTTCTATCGACGATTCCCTTCCTGAATGAACGTCTGGCCTGCATCAAAACGTATTATCAGTTCTCTTCGGCGATCGAAGATATGCGAAACGAGATCGATCGATTCAAAGTCGCGATTGAGAAGTGCGTGCGAAGCGACAATCTCAGTCATCTCATGGAGCTCATTCTCGCGATTGGAAACTTTTTGAATGGTAAGCAGAAGTGGATTGTTGCTGACGCATAGAAAAGAGCAATCGACGTGGCTATTACGGTTTCCTGCTTTCCTATTTGCCCAAACTGCGCGACACCAAGTCGATAGACAACAAAATGACATTGCTAGAGTGCGTTTTCTTTCCCTCCTTTTCACTTTAGCTTCCTCTACGCACAGCTGGAGCAGGACGCCAACACGTCGCTTCTCTCTGTGATCGACGAATTCAAGTTTTTATCTGCCTTGAAGGGTCAGGACTACAAGCAAATGCTCCAAGAATTCTCCAATTACGAGAAGACCTTCAATCAGCTCGCGAATCAGGGAAAGAAACCGAAGTGCGCTCCCAACGATTTCTATCCGGAGAAGATGAAAAAGTTCCACGCGGACCACGTGAAGTCGGTGGAAGCGGTGCGCGAGCTGGCCAATACGGTGGACGAGCTTTACAAGGAGTTCGTCAAGAAATACGGTACGAATCGAGAGGGGTGGTGAAGCGTAGCTTGTCCGAAGGATTATTTGATTTCCAATATTATCGACGATCTGGCCACGTTCTTCGAACAACTCGCCGAGACGCGCGAAGCGGTTTTGAAGAAGCGAGAGATCCAAGAGCAGCTTCGCAAGACCGAGGAAGCGCAGAAAGTGATGAAGCAGCAATTGCAGCGGAGCCGAATGACGCCGAAGAACCAAGAGAAGGATCTGTTCGGCGATTTCAACGATCTGAAAAAGACGCAGATGACGATGCGAGCAGGGCCTACGAATCTAGGCAAGTCCATTCCGCCTCTGGGAACCATGCATCAGCGTCCGCTTGTGCATGTCGATTCATCGGGAGTCACGTTGTCTCCGCGTCCTAGTCGATTTGGCCGAAATACGGGATTTGACATTAACAATCCGCGCGATGTGTCGTTGAAAGGAGTGGATTCGACCATCAAAATGCCAGCCAACCAGCGAATGGAGACAATGAAGAACGGCCAGGCGCAGCGACCGCGTGTTTCCGGCATGTTTGTGAATGAAGGAGCCAGCTCTGGGCAGCGAGATTCGCTGTTAGAACAACCGGGAGTTGACCGGTTGCCGAAAGGATTCGGAATTATCGATCCGCTACCGAGCTTTAACAGTCCAGCTTCTTCACCGAAATTTGGTCCTGTGAAACGGATGGATAGTCGCTATGTGTAAAAATGTGTTGTTGAATTGTTTGTTTCCAAAAGAGAGTTTGGGTGGGGGTTTGAGCGTAGATGGAAAGAATACGAAGCACAATCACTATGAACAGGTTTTGGAATTACAACAAGAAAAAAATAGGACAATCTATCGACTACTTGAATCAGCCACTAAATTTATAGCCCAATCCTATTGTATATAGAAGATAAAGAGCAGAATACAAAAAACATGAGGATGAGAATAAAAGGGTGGAAATAACGTTTCACGAAATGAGTCACAGTTTTATATATTGATCTTTATTTGTGTCCATTATGCAGTGTATTAAGCACATTTAAACCATAAGAAATCAAACCCTAACCTCAATTTCAGGATTTGCCTAATTTTGGGATATGATTGAAACGATATTGGTCTCTATGGTTTCTTTAGAATATTCCCTTTGTTCGTTTGTATAGGAGAATGAAGTGATGCATTCATACCAAATCGAATAAACTAGCTGAATGTTTACTCACAAATATGTGATAATATGTTGTTATTTTTGAAAACAACCATCTTACTGAGATTGGTAAGAATTTCAAATTGTGTATTAATGCGAATTATGTGAAATGATTTATCCTCGTATTGTACGCTACTGTTGAAATGAACAAATCCATGAGGTAAAGACAATGTATTATCTCAAGAGTACGAGCACAAAATAACAACATGAATATAATTAATTCATGTTCTAGAAACATTATCTGTAACAAGAATAATATGATGCAGCGATATCATCAAACGTACAATTTCTCCCATACCAGCACAGTCTTATCGACGATAGAATGATCTACAGCGCTGAGCACAAAAGAACACACAAAGAACAAAAATCATAATAATCAAGAATCACTATGCCGCCAATAAACACCAACTGCAGAAGAACATAATAGATTCTGTCTGAAGTTCACTTTTTTTTCTGCAATAATGAGAACAATAATGCTTCTCTTCTTATGTATTATTATTCCACTTCTATAACACCTAGTCTTCATTGTAGGCATATATGCCACTACCTGTCCCGAAAACAAGGTCTATATGAAACTTACCAAAATGTCTACTGCATATGCTCATGAAGAACAAGTGCAAGTTCATGGAACTACTGTCTATGAAGAAAGTGAACCTTTCGAAGATGATTCTCTTTATTCTTGGGAGTGGTGTGTCGACTCTACAGAAAATAATCAATATGAGGTATGGTTCTATGATGAGTACGGTGATTCTTGGAATGAAGGAGCATGGCTCCAGATTGAAGGTCCTTATGGAAATGTAGTCTTCAAAAACTATATGACCGATGATATGTACGAGATTTTCCCCTTGTCACTTTATAATCCAATCGCGACTAACTCTTCGTGGAAATTCTATCAGGGAACTGTTTCGGATAATTGGATGACAGACCAGTTTGATGATTCTCAATGGACTTCATTGTCTATCAATGATCCGATTTCGCAACCAACTTCCACTCAGTATTATCGTTATTCGTTTAATGGAATTGTGGGAATGGCTGCTTATGAGGTCCGTTTCAATTATCGCCATGGTATAGTCGCCTATATGAATGGTTTAGAAATCTATCGAGATAACATGGCTGAAGGTAGTGTGAGTGGAGATACTGCAGCCACAGGATCTCACTCAAATTACACATTCCGCGGAGTAATTCGTGGAGGTCAAGAAGTGGAAGGGAGTTCGATTTTGGCAGTCGAGATTCATATGACAAGTGATTCATCGGAATCAGAACGAGTATTCGATGCTTGGTTATCAATATATTCGAGTTCAGCAGGCGATAATTGTTACATTGTCGGAACGGATGTTACATTGGACAGTACACAAGAAAAAGCGTTTAACTGGAACAAAGGTGATTATTACTGGGCAAACACTTTCCCTGCTACAATCAATTATGCATATAACGGAAATACGATTCCTGTAGTAAATGGATTCCGAGTGTTTGCTTGCAGTGCTGTAAGTGCAGCTCCCAAAACATTTACTCTTGGAGGTTCGTCTAGTTCATCTGGACAATACACAACCATGTTGACTGTTGAAAATGCTGCTTATACTTATAATGGACACAGTATGTGGACATCGAGTGTATATTCTTCGTCGTGGAGACATTATCGTGTCAATATCGAGAATACTGGAAGTGCTTCGCTTTCTGCTTATGAATTACAACTCCTTGTTTGTAATGTACCTGTTCTCACAAGAATCGAATTCCCACGATCCAGTTATGAATATTTGGCCGAATATGATGAAGTTGAAATCAAGCCTGTACGAAGCGATATATCTGGATGTAGTATTAGTCCGGAACTTCCCACTGGTTTGGAACTGAATAGTGCGACTTGTACGATTTCTGGAATTGCTACGGTTACTACAGATAACATTACTTATACAATGACATCTTCTGTGAGTGAAGGACTGTCTGGAACATTCAGTTTGAAGATAACAAGTTGTGATTCATTATTGATCGAAATTGAACGGGTCTACAGGCTTCTTGCAAGTAGTGAAGCTTGAGTATCGATATATGATGACGAAACAAATGAAATATTACTCAGTGTTCCTCTAGATCATGGAAATGAGGACGATAGTATAGTGAAAACTAATTTGTGTTTGACTGCAAATCGTATTCGAATTGGGACTTCTGGAAATGAATACTGGGCATCTGATTCCTATATCAACATTCGGACAGTGATGAAGAATGGACAGAAAGAAATGATTGGTCGAATTCATCGAGATTCACTCGTTGGAACTCCGAATCCCTATATTATCAGTACACAATATCCTATTCAATCGGGAGAAGAATGGTATTACAAAATGGGCGAAGTGCCTGCAGATTGGGCTTCAGAATCAGTAGAAGGATGGGAACAGAATACAGTGTTCCCTGCTTCGTCCAATCGAATTCAACTCTATAAAAAGAATTTCTCGATTCAATCACTTGCCAATGTGACTTCGTTCACTTTGAATGTCAAGTATCGATATGGAATGATAATCATGTTGAATGGATACGAAGTGTTCCGAAATGCGATCGAAGGTGATTTATCGAATGAGTCTGCAGCATCGGATTCGTATACTGATAATTCATTCCATTTGATTTCGTTACCTATCAAGGCGTATAATGACGAGAATACTGAAATGAATTATTTAGTAGAAGGATCCAATCGCATAGCAATTGCATTGGTTTCGATTACTGCTAGTCAAACGGAATCTATATTTGATTGTGCAATTCGATTGATTCGTAATACTGAAAAGAGTCGAGTATGGGATTATAAATATACGTCTTCTCTCAACATTGGGTATGATCCCTTCTCTCTGGGACGATTCGATTCTATCTATGCTTACAGCAATAATGATAATTGGGTAGAATTGGAGTTCAATAATGATCGAAGAGAATGGTCTAATATGTTGACAATAATGAATGACTTTACATCCAATACAAGAGGAATCGAGTCATTCATATTGGAAGCCAAGAATCGAGAAGATGAATCATGGACACTGTTACAAACTGGACAGGATATAGAATGGTCATTCGCAGGACAAACAAAACAATTCTATTTATTACCAACAAAACCGTACAATACATATCGTTTCCGAAATTTCAAAGGAAAAACGGCTTCAGGATGGAAAGTGTTAGCAATTGATTTCCGCATTGAAAATGTGAACGTGGAAATTGCTCCACTTTCTTATCCAACTCCCATTGAGATTTATCGAGGAATCGAAATGGCCGAAGTCTATTGCGAAACCGAGTATTATCTCAATTTCAGAATCGAACCTGCACTTCCCGAAGGAATCACGATCGATTCTATGACAGGAATGATTTCAGGAACAGCCACAACAGTGAAAGAAGCATCTCAATACACGATTACAGCCAACAAACTGACGGGAGGAACTTCATCGTTTGTAATCACATTGAGTGTAGCATTGTGTACAAATGGAAAGGGACTCATCACAATGACTGTTCGAACTGATTATTATCCAGAACGAAGTCATTACAATTTGTATTCAGGTAAAGAAATGGCCGGAGAGCCGATTTCGACTTCCGATACATTAGAACAAATGAATACTTTAGTCTATTTCGATTTCTGTTTAGCAGATGGTTTGTACACAATGGAAATTGTGACAGAGAGCAACATGGGAATGGAAGCTCCTTCGGGTTATATGCTTTCTGTGGATGTTGGAACTTTCCGATTGGAAATGCAACAAGTCCCTGCAGGAATGAGTCCCATTCGAACATCACTTCAATTCTCGTCTTCTATTCCGTTCCAAAACGAATTTACAGAATGGTCCGTTTCCAAACAATTTGTGAGTTCGGATTGGACTTCGGTGGATTTCCAAGACTCGAATTGGGAACAATTGAAAGCTGGAGAAATCGGAACTGGTTCTGGAGCTACGGTCTATTTGCGTCGTCATTTCTCGATTCCTTCGTTGGAAGATTATCAAGTGATGAATGTGATGGTGAAATATGGAGGTGGATTGATTGCTTATGTGAATGGAAAGAAAGTGGCTCGATTCAATCTGCCTGATGTAGTTGATGACTCAACACGAGCTCCCCAAGCTCATGATTCATCGATTGCAGTATTCTTCCATGTGATTCTTCCGTTTGTGAAAGCGACATTGGAGAATAATGTGATTGCGATTGAACTTCATCAGGTGGTTGATACATCTTCGTCAGTTCCGTTCGATTTCTATGCGACGGGAACATTTGGAGTGAGCGATTGTTCTGTGGTTCGTGATTCATTCTCTTCTCTTACCGGACCTTCGAAGTATCCTGGAGATGTCATGAATTTCTTCGATATGTCACCAATGACCTATGCAACACTCTATTCTTCTTATGAAATCGATTTTGCTTGGACAAGTCAAAACTTGGAAGGAATGTCCTACAATGCGATGGCTGTATACACAAATGAGGATGTGAACAAATGGTCGTTCTCTATTTATGGAAGATTTGGAAATGAGAATTATACGACCATTGCCGAAATCAAAGACTTCAATACAACTGGAAGAACGCGAGGAATCGTTTCTGTTCCAGTGGGAGTAGCGAATTTCCCGAGTCTTCGTTTGGAAACAGATGCTTTGAGAACCAATTCATTAATTCTTGTGGAAATGATGTTTATGTATTGTAAAGCATCGGGTGCGATTTGTGAAGGTATTGGCGATTTCCCGACTGTAGCTGAAGGTCAGATTTCGCCTTCTCTGTGTGATGAAGGATTTGATGGATATGCTTATCGAGTTTGTGAGAATGGAGTATTGTCCGAAGTGAAAATGGACAAGTGTATTTACAAAGTTCCTCGGAATATCGAATACTCAGCCACACGATATGAATTTGTTCGAGATGTATTTGCAACGACAGGAGTTCCGACATTCACAAATCGAATCACAGAATGGTATTTAGCTTCGGGTCAGAAACTACCCGATGGATTAGAATTGAACATAGAAACTGGAGAAATCAGTGGAACACCGGTTACTGCAACTAGTTTGGAACTGATTCATGTATTTGGAAAGAATCCGAGTGGAGTAGCGAGTACAGAAATAACAATTACTGTTCGTGTTGGACGATGTATATCTGAAGGAATATGGCAATCAACGGAAGTGGATTCAATCGCAATTTATGATTGTGCTCTACAAGGAGCCTTTGTGGGAACTCAGAAACGAGCCTGTGTGCTTGGAGAGAAGGATGGAGAATGGCGAAATGCAACGGGACTGTGTGTCTCGATTGTTACTTTAGTAGTTGTGATCGTTATCGTAATAATAGTCATTTTAATTGTGGTTCTTCTGGTAATTCGTAATTTACGGAGAGTGAAATCGGTAAGAGGTACGAAGACTGACAAGAAAGTAAATGTGAAGAAGGTGAAGAAACCAGCAACGACCAAAACAGTAAAGGTTTAAACTGTTAGACTTTGAATATCTTGTTTGTTTCAATCAAATATGGAATGTAGAGTGATCGAATAATTGAATACAATAATGATACAAGAATCGATAGTATCGATGTTCTCGCTGAAACTGTCTCCATTGAAAAGAATAATCACAACTGATGTTCACACATTGATGATAATCTTCGATATCGAGAAGTCCTGAGCACTGCCTACATTTCATTTTCACGAACTATTTATTAGAAGCGAAAAAACAACCAAGTACTTCAATGCGTTGTTCGACATCTTGAATCCACATTGCTATTCGAATCAACAAATCTTGTGGATGCTTTCTGCAATTCGAACACACGATTTCATCTCCTGAGCTCACTTTTCTACAAAAGAAGCAAAGATTCGAGGTATAAAATCCATCGATTCTTTGTTCTTTATCGACACCTGATCGTGTGGATAATCCGCCAACACTCGACAACTGGTTTTTGAATTTCGATGGAATGATAAAGGATGGAGTACTTGGGACTTCGGTCATTGAATGATACCACTTTTCGACGTCAATTCCAAAAATCGTTGATAACTACTTCACACTCAACAATCGCAAATCTACTCGATTCAACACAGGAATCACATGTTTTCGGATATAATAATCATTATTCAAACGCACTCCGTTTTCTTCTCTCAGCAATTCATACGGAGAAATCACCTGATCGTTCAATCGACTCTATTCTTAACTCCCTTCCTTACTGCAACGCCCGGTTCTCCGTAAATCACCAAATAAGGCACCTTCTCTTTGTACAATGGAACGTCCCTTTCGTCGTTGAGAATTCGCTTAATGCTGATCACAGCAGCAGGAGGCAGAGAAGGATTCAAAGCGATGATTCTATGGAAATCCAAATCTCCTTCAAAACCGTCTTGATCAGTCGCGTTCGACGATTTCATTTTGTAGGACCCCAATTTCACTTCCCTCCATAATATGAAATCCGGAATTGGGATCTGAGAGGTCAGAATCTTTCGAAATTCGTTCTGAACAAACCTGAAAATATCAATACAAAATGATTCGTACGTCTGAACTTGGCTCAGAGAGGACGAAGTGAACACACGCGTTAGAAAATCCTCGCTTAACTGTCTGATATACTCGCATTGATCCGTCCGAATCATTTCAATTCCCTTTCCTTCCACACTATTCATAACTATTTCTTTCTTAATTCTACAATGGCGCGGCGTCTTCGCTCGTATAGCAATAACCGGTGTATCGTTTTTTCGTTACCATCACGCACGGATGATACAATTTCTCGAATTTCAAAGTGATTGGAACCGGAAACAATGCAGAAATCTCGTCTATTTCCTCATTCTTTCACTCTACAAAGACCTTCAAGTTGCCTTCCCAACGCAAACGCGTCATGTCTCGAGTATCCTTTACACTGAATAAACATGGAGTCTGTATCTGCATACACCACTTCCACATCATTGAAATGATTCAGTACATAATTAATGCTTTTCGTTAAGATCACTCGCCCGTATTCAACAATGCTATCACCGATTTGAGCGTTCGGCATACGACCGCTAAAACCAGCATTGATGTATCCGTACGTGGTGTTTACAATTCCTTTCAATGCGAGCTGATTGAAGTCGAGAATCGATTTGTAATGATCGTATAAGGGATGATTGCGGTTGTTTTTCAACACGTTCTTGATCAGAATTCTATCGCTCAGTTTCTCTTTGTTTCTTTACCGAATTCGAAGAATTTCGGACACCATCTTCACGATGATTCCTTCTCGAACATTCTTATTCACAAATACTGTTCCTGTCGGAGAAACGTGGAAACCTCCTTTATATGCAGCTTCGATTTCTCGAATCCCTGCTTCATAATTCACATCAAACCCCGTTCCTTTGTACATCCCAAACTACCATTCAAAACCCGTTCAATCCAAACTCCCGTTTTTTTGTTTAGATTCCCTAGACAGGTCGAGAAGCAAATGTTGTAAGCGATCATAACGCTGGGATACAGCGATTGGAAGTCCATCACGACCAGAGGATCATTGTATAAGTTGGAATACGGTTCCATCACCAATGGAATGCTCGCAGCGGAAGGCTGATGAGCGAGCTGCAATTTAGAAACAAAAATAGAAGAGAAACTTGCGATTCGGTAGCGTTAAGACAAAGCATGCTATACTCTTTCGAGTTGTTAATTCGTAGTAAAATGTTTTCGATTTTGTACTGCGACCCTCTTGTGAGCTCGTCCGTGAGATCGATGCCTTGAATCGTGCAGCTCTCGATCAGTCGATTTAGAATGTGTGTGTGATAGAGAATGTGGATTGAGTAAAAGACTTTTTTGCGCATGTACAAGATTGCTGCATCGATTGAATGGCTGGAGTTCAGCCTGCTGATGAATGCCAAAACAAAAAAAGGTACATTTTTAGAAGAGTAACGTTCTCATATTTGGGAACGGTTGTGTGATAAATCGAATTCATCACAGCACAGAAATCGTTGTTGTTTCCGGAATGATATCCGTTTCTTCGAAGAATTCGAAACAGTGACAACACTACATTCGTTAAATTCAGTTATAAATCAAAACCATATCTTCCATTCATTGAAATCGTGCTTGATTTTTGCTGATTGTATTTCGTGTTGGCAGGATTCACATTCATTACGCCGTTTGTTTGATATCCCCATTGCTCGAAGTTTGCTTTTCCATCATAACGATATTCGTTATATTCTGGATCGATGTAGAACGAATGGAACAAATTTGAATTCCGATGAACGTCTTGATGAATCAGAGAAAAGGGGCATCGCGAAAGAAGGAAAAGAACGGGAACTCCCAAATGTTCGCAGCGGTCAATCAAATACCCGATCGAATCGCGTTGCATCTGCGAATGATTTAATTCATTCACGATTCTACTTCATATTCCACAATAAAATCGGGATTGAAGGACAAAACAACGTTGATGAGAGCCAGCAACAACTCGCTTTCTTCCTTAACAAATTGGATGGAATGAAACGATTTGCACAAATAAGGTGGAAACGTGGAACTGAATGCAAGTGAATCTACCGCTAATGCAGAGAGAAAAAAGAGAGAACTGTAAATGATTCCACACTGAATTGGCGTATTATCGTTGTTATGAAGATCCCTACATTCAAAACAAGCCAATGAATTACGTTGTTGAAAAGGAATAAAAAACTCCCAAAATCGGGTCTGTTTTAGGATTTGGCTTTGCAGTTTCTGTGCTCTCACACAACAATTCAATGCTCATCAATCGAAGACTTGGCTACATTTCATAAATTTGTTCGATGCATTACGGGAGGCGTTTCATTTTGTGAGAATTGAGTGATTGATGAGTTTAAAAGGGTAGACGAGTTTAAACTGGATTGAAATTCTGTGGGTTCGATTGGTGGAGGAGAGGAAGCTTGTTTTGGAATGATGGGAGGTTTGATTGAGTACACAAAACGGCGAAAGCGAGGAATCGGAGCCGAGCCCAGGATCTCTTTCCAGAATTCGATTCGATTTTCGCTTTGCTGTTTGGTTTGCTCCCCCTTCAATTCAATTTCATGTTCCAATTCATTCAACACTTCGGTTGTATTGAATTCCTTCATCGTCACCAAATCATCGTAATGACAGCAGGGCAAATGATACGATTTCATTAGATCCTTCAATACAACACTATCACGTGAAGGTGGCTTTATAGAATAAAGAAATCGACGATACAAAATCTCTCCATCCGCAAACAATGGTTTCCACTTTTCCCTTTTTGGAAGGATGATTTGTTTGTAATCGTACGATTGTTTTGTATTTGTTGTGTTTTTTTCACATGGATGAATTTCATTTTTCTTTTCATTCGATTCATTTGGATGATTTTCACTTTCAAATTCATTTCTATTTTGGTCATTTTCACTCTGATTCTCCATTTCACTCCCTGATTTCCCCAGTTTGCACTCCTTTCCATTCGAAAAATCCAAAGTTTCTCGATCCTTTCCATTCATTTCTCCACCCGAAAGCAACGGGTCACAACACAGCAATGATTCATTCACGTCTTCAATTTCACTCCCCAACTCCACTTCCATTTCCATTTCCTTTTCATTCATTGAATCACGTTCGTTTTTCTTTATATTCTTCTTCTTCTTTTCATTTTCATTTTCATTTTCATTTTCATTTTCATTTTCATTTTCATTTTCATTTTCATTTTCATTTTCATTTTCATTTTCATTTTCATTTTCATTTTTGATGTTGTTGTTTTTACTCATCATCACACTTTCCGCATAGCATCGAAATTGAAATCGCATCGCTTCGTTTTCACACAAATCTTCTGCTTTTGCAGATCGACTTTCTGATAAAGAAACCGACGGCTGCACGCCAAACAAGCGCTCCACTTTGTGTTTCAATGCGAGAAGCGAAGGAATCAAATACTCTTCGTTCTGATTTCGGTCGATCACAAGATCGGTAATGGCAATGTCTCCCTCCAACGCACATAAACTATGACGAATTCGATTCGAATGGGATGATAAAAGGGAAGAAAAACTCGGATGGTTGATGTGGTATCGAAGCTAAAAGAAAATCAGAATGGACTAATGAATGTACTCGCATGTTCGTTATCGTGGTGAATCCAAACACATTTACTTTGTAATCCGTCAAGAACTTCAATTTATAATTGTATTTGTGCTCATAGCAAAGCATGGCCGGAAAGGTCTGGGATGCGTCTTCAGGCGTTGGCAGCTTTCCGTTTGCAATTTCGCGAGCGACTGTCACCACGTCGATCGGATTGTATAGCGCTATGCGGATGAAATGCTGATCTTCGAGATGAAACCCGTAAATTGACTTTCCGCGAATGAGCTGCATCTATTTTTAGTCAAAATCGAGCAAAATTGTGTACAGATTGAATGTACTTGAATTGACTAAACTCGTTTTTCTCCTTTTCACGCAAAAATCGCTCGATCCCTCTCTCTAGACGCAGCATTTGGGACGCTAAGTTATTGTTTGTAAATGTTCCATCTATACCCACGAAAAAGTAGGGATAATACTATGGAACTATTTTCAAATAGAGTCTACATTATGAATATGCACGCAAATGTCGATGGAATCTGTAACTCTTCCAAACAAACGAATCACGGGCTCTTTTACGTTGTATTCGATTTTCTGTGCATTGTTCTTTACCACGGCAGTGAGTTTGCTCACTTCCAGATAATACTCCTAACTGTGAGTAGTTTGATGAATCTCTACGAATTTGACTAGACGAAATGTGACTGATTCCAGAACATCATTTGTCTCTTGCTGCATGAAATACAATGCTTCTTTCAAACCACCAGCCGTTATCTCACTCCCTCACATATGTGTAATTCTAACGACTAATGTTTGATTCCAAATGATTTCCAGAAATCGGCTCGTTTTTCGAGCGTTGTTGCTTCGTTCATATTTTTCCTATCATATTTTATCCATGCTGTCTGTACTACGTGCTGCAGCGTCCCCATGCCGTATCCTTAAGACGAAGGCTCTGTGGGTGAATCCGATTCGTCTTTTTGCGCTGTACGCAGAGCGTTGGCAATTGAATTCATAGAGCTCATCGTCCTGAAGAAATCCACATTCTCTATGGTTCTGATTCGGGGAACGCGGAGAATTTGTCAAAGCAGCTGCGAGAAGACCTTGAGCGAAGAGGAATCGACTGTTCGTTGGAAGCTATGAACGATGTTGATACATCGGATCTGAAGGAATTGGAGAACGTGATCTTTATCACCTCGACAGCGGGTCAGGGTGATTTTCCGCGCAATGCGAAGGACTTCTACAAGGCCTTGGACGAACTCGCTCCTGGCTCGTTATCTGGACTCAACTACTGTGTGTTTGGCTTGGGAGACCATAGCTATGTCCATTTCAACCAAGCTGCGAAGAACCTAGAAGCCAAGCTGCATTCTCTCGGAGGCGAATGCCTTCTGCCTCTGGGACTGGGGGATGACCGCGATGAGGAGAAGTACGAAACAAAATACTACGAATGGCTTCCCTCGCTGTATGAAAAACTGCATGCCGAGAAAGTGGTAAAAGATTTCCCGCCAACTCCGAAGTATTCCGTCCAGCTCTCAAAAACCACGCAGGACAAACTCAAACCGTTCAAACCTCTTCGCAGCCATTTGTTTCCTCTCCTCGAGGTGAGAAGATTGACTCCTGAGGGCTATGACCGAGACATCCGCCATTTCACGATCGACCTCCAAGGTACCAAAGTAAAGTACAATTGTGGCGACACGCTCGGCATCTACCCCCAAAACCACAAAGAAGACGTTCTCCAACTCCTCCATGATCTCGATCTCTCTCCGACCGACTTCATCAAAATCCAGAAATCGGACCAAATTCGGAGGACCTTTCTCCCCAGCACCACCACCGTCGAGACTCTCTTCACCGAGGTCCTCGACGTTTTCGGCCGTCCCACGCGCCGTTTCTACAGCCTCCTCAGCCGTTTCGCCACGAATCCCGCGGAAAAAGCAGCCCTCGAGTCCATGCTGACGGCCGCGGGATCCCCGCTGGTGCAGTCGTTCCTCGCGGAAACGCTGACCTACGCGGATATTCTTCGGAAATTCCCGTCGGCCAAGCCGGCATTGCCGTTCCTGGTGGAGCTGATTCCCACGATGAAACCGCGGTTCTACAGCATCGCGTCGTCGCCACTGATGCACCCGCACACGCTCGATCTGTGCGTGGTGGGCGTGAATTGGAAAACGCCGTCGGGCGTGCAGCGCAGAGGCCAATGCACTTCGTATCTCCACGATTTGAAAGCAGATTCCCACACCACCATACGCGGGGTCGTCACCCCGGGAACTATGAAAATGCCGCAGGATTCGAAGGCTCCGGTGATTATGGCCGGGCTGGGAACAGGAATAGCGCCATTTAAGGCGATCACGGAACATCGCGTCGCGCAGGCAAGATCGGGACTGCCGATGGGAGACACGACGTTGTTTTATGGCTGCAGATATAGAAAGGAGTTTGTTTACGGAGATTTGTGGAAGAAGTATCATGAGGAGGGAGTTTTGACGCATGTTATTCCCGCGTTCTCGCGAGAGCAGAGTTACAAGATTTATGTGCAGGACAAGATTCGGGAAAACAGCAAATTGGTGACGGACTATTTGATGAACCAGGGCGGCTATTTCTATTATTGCGGACTTGCCGGAAAGGCTCCCGCTGCAATTCGTGCTGGTATTATCGATGCGTTCAAGAAGGAGACTGGAATGAGCGAGGACAAGGGCGAAGAGTATTTGAAGCAGATGGAAAAGGAGGGACGATACAATTTGGAGTGTTGGTTGGGTGTTTGTTGAAAATGGAATTCCCGATTTTCTAGGCTTTTCTTCTTTTTTCATAATATCGTATTGTGAGAAGTTAGAGGTTCAGAGGAAAGTAGGGCACTTCTAGAAATGAGGAATTGAATTTGGGATGATTTGCGGCGTAAATGAGAGCTCGTTGGAGGTTTTTTGTTGGGCGGCTCTGCCTTTATAATATTCCTACAGTAGAGATGTCTAACGTGTCATCTAGTTATGAAGGAGAAAGATTTGCAGTACTTCGAGCATCTTTGTGACACCTTATACGGTCCTTCACAAGAGCAAGATAGAAGACGCGCAGAGAACGAAATTGCGGCTATCACGAAGAACTCTTCATTTGCAAACGAGATTGAGTGGGGAACAGAAGGGAGCTACGATCCTAGGAGTATCTTGAACAACTCTCACAGCGCAAATTCGTTGATTTACCTCAGTATTTCCTTGAAGCACATCATTCTTGATAACTGGACGTCTTTGAGTACCGCTCGTCGTTTAGAGCTTCGTGGGCGTTATCCAAGTTTATATTACTGTAGGTGACAACCTTCTCGCGTACCTCTCCGAGCGAGGTCCTTCTCTCGATCCCATGGTGTTCCGCAACATTTCAATCGCCATCTGTATCATATCAAAGCTATCCTGGATGGAGGACCGCCATCAGCGTTCCTTGCTCTCGAGCATCGACTCGCTCGCGAACCAAGGACCCGAATTTTTCATTTTAGGCCTCAACATGATGGCAGATTTCGTCGAGCAGATGGACATTCCCTATCTGAGTATCCTCTCTTCTTCTCTTTTATCCTTCTCACACGCAGTGGACAGCACCGAACACCGCAAGACCGTCACCCAATTCATCTCCGAGAGCCTCCTCACGATCTTCGAGACCGCTCTGGAAGTCGTCGACGACATCAGTTCCGGCTCCGGCTCTGAGAAATTCAACGACTTCACCTACCGCAACGCGCTGCTCCAAGCCGACATGAAAGTGCTCTCCCAGTGTCTCCAGTTCGATTTCATCGGCTGCAAAAGCGACGAGAGCGCCGACGAGACCTGGGTGCTGCAAATCCCCGCGCTCTGGGAGGGATTCGTCTGCAACAGCGAGCGTCTCGCGCGGTTATTCGCCATGTACCCTCCCTCCTCAGCCTCCATCCAAGCTACCAATCGGTGCAGCCGCCGCTAACGCTCAGCGTGCTCGAGATTATCATGCTCTTCGCGTCCATTCGACGGTCCATCTTCCGCGATCCCGGGCTGCGTCTGCGCTTTCTGGAGGTTCTGATCAACGGCGTCGCCGAGTGTCTGAGCTCGGGGCACGGACTCAACGACGAAGACACGTACAACATGATGTGCCAATTGCTGGGCCGGCTGAAGGTGGCTTCCCGCGGGGAGAGTGAGGTCTAGTCGAACTTCCAGCTGTCGGAGCTGATGAAAACGGCGCAGTTCGCGACGTGTTTTGAGCTGATCTCGAACTTCACGTGCACGTCGCTGCGCGACTGGAACGCCTGCAACAACTCGATCAACTTCCTGCTGACGCTGTGGTCCCGCATGACCTGCGCGTTCCGCTACGTGCAGATCACCAGCGCCATCGCGTTGAACCAGAACGTGCTCGCCAACCTGATTCCGCGCATCGTCGAGGCCTACATCGAGGGCAGACTGCTCCAAGTCCTCGACGACGGAGGAAACTCCAATCCTCTCGACGATCCCGACACGCTGCGCGAAGAAATGACGCAGATTCCACAGATTATTCGGTTCGTCTATCCCACCTGCGGCGAGTTTTTGCTGCGCCGATTCATCGAATTGTCCAATGAATACCAAGTAGGGCTCACCGCGGGGATCGAGGGTAGGTGGAACTGGGGAAACTGTTCGAGGGAAACGGGGAACTGCAGGAGGAGATCGCGAATTTGGAGAGTAGTGGCGGTGTTTTGAGGAGTGAGGGATAGAGAAGCTTGCGTTGCTGATTCATATAATCGCGAACGTGATCAGCGGGCAATCCTTCATGCTGATCCAAGTGACGAGCAACCACAACTTCTACGACGCGCAGCTGAGTCGGAACGTGCTGCAGCTCGTGAATTACTGCATGCAGGAGCAGCAGAGCCACGGCTATCGCTGCCACCCGCAGCTGGAAGTCGCGTTTCTGTCGTTCTTTTTGATCTTTCGACGCACCTTCGTCAACGATCAGAAGTCCTTTGCGATTATCAGAGAGTACGAGGACTGCAAGAACGGACCCATTCCGCAGAGAGCCGAAGTACCCCCGATTTTTGGAATGTGAAATAGGCGTATCGGAGTTTCATCACGCAGGTGGGGTTCGGGGACATTTCGCAAGTGATGTCCTTTATTTGGGAGAAGGTGTGTCGGAACCTGCGTAACTGGACAGACAACGAAATGGTGGTAACCGAATCGTTGAAACTCCTCTTGGATATCAGCGACGGCTATGAAAGCAGTTTACTTTTGTTAAAAATCGAGTCGGTTCAGTTCGTTTTACAGCACCACACCGTAAGTTTTTTCTTTTTTTTATTTTCATAATTTTTCTCATCCAATAGGAAGAGGAGTTTCATTTTCTACGGAATCCCGCGTTCAGTCATCTGCGAAGCATGTATTATCAAGCCCTCACCAATCTGATCCTCCTCGAAAACGTTCCCGGACGGCTTGAGATGCTCATGAAGCCGGTTTTGGACCGAATCTCTCTGCTGTACAACGCGCAGCAGCTGAACGAGCCGGAATGCGTACCTCCGTTTCCACGATTTGAGGGATAGCAGACGATCGTGAACGTGTTCCGCGACGCGCGTGGAATCGTGATGTCGTGCACAAGCCAGCGTTCGTTCAGCGTGTTTGTGGAGTCGATGTACGCTCTCGTTATGAGCTTGTTATGATTCAGTTATCCGAAAGCGTTCGATGTGATGCAGCGCGCTTTACGCGAGCACGGCGATGAAGAAGAGATCGTCTCCTCCATTATGAAATTCTTGGCGTCCCTCGTTTTGAATCAAGAATCCAGAATCGATTATTGCAACGATATCGCCAATGGTGTTACATTGTTCCGCGAAACTGCACGCGTTTTGATCGTCTACGGAAATCTACTGCTCAACAACTTTAAAACTTTCGTGCGGATTTCGTGCGTCCAATCATCGCGTAGGACCAATGTCCCGCGTACGTCTACAAGGGAATCTGCCAGCTCTTCCACGTGATGGTCCGCCTGCTGAGTTTGCTCCCGCGGTTCTGTTGAGGTCTAGAGGGGAAGTACGTTCCGTTCGGCGTGTTTCCACTTTACGACGATTCCAGTTTTAAAGACATTTTGGAGATGTACCTCAAAATCGTGATCCGCACGCCCTTCAAGTCCCTCTCGGTTTCCCCGTTTCCCCTTTCTGACGGATAGGAATGGCCGAAATACGAGCGAGCGGTGTTTGTGTTCCTGGAGATTTTGTTCGCGGAACACATCGATACGGTGTGTGCGATCGACTCGCAGGCGTTCATTACGATCATGGACAGCGTGTGCAACGGCGTGTCCAGCTTCAGTCCCGAGGTGGTCATCGCGTGCTCGCGGATCCTCACGCGCGTGGCGAGCTATCTGTATCTGAACCAATACAAAAACACGCCCACCGTCGCGAATATTAAGCGGATCATCGTCGCGCAGCCCAATTTTTGGAGCGTCGTTTTGACGTCCGTGCTGAATGCGTTCATTTTTGGAGCCGCGTCCACCTTGTGGGAGCTCTCCAAACCCATCTATGCAGTGTGTTTGGTCGACCAGCAGGCGTTTGGGCAGTATATTAAGGCGGTGAGCGAGAATCAGGACTCGATTGTGCAGATGCAGCTGATGGAGGATTCGAATAATCTGATGAGTTCGTTGGATTATGCGATGAGCAAGCAGAGCATGGATAAGTTTAGCAAGATGGCTGTAGCATGGAGAAGACAGTATTTGTCGTATATGAAGTTGTGATGTGTTTGTTGGAGGAAAGAGGGTGAGGAGAAGGTGGAAGGAGAGGTGATTGGTGGGGAGAAGAAGCATGATATATAAATATATATCTATGATGAATCACAATGGAAGGATCGCTTTCATAACGCGTGGATATCACAAAAGTCTCGTTTCTAACAAGTATAAACACCTTTTTGCCTCCCAAACCCAATTTACACCATAACCGTGATTCTACTAAAACCAATATTTCTCTTGACACTGTGGTAGGAAATGGTTTCTATATGGATAGAAGGGCTCCAAAACACTCCTTCTATCATTTGCATGTATTGAAAGAGACTTATCGTGTATGTAGGGAATGGTCCAAAAGAAAATCGATAGTCGTATTCGCACGCTGATTGAAAATGGCGTGAAGCTAAATCAGCGAACATTGATGATCATTATCGGAGATAATGGAAAAGATCAAGTCCTTTCTCTGTTTTATTTACATCTTCTCTAGATTCCCAATTTGCACTACATGCTATCAAAGTGCCGCGTGCGTACGCGTCCTTCGGTGTTGTGGTGTTACAAGAAAGACCTGGGTTTCAGCACGTTTATTCCATTACATTGGGCTCACACACAGCCACAAGAAGAAACGCATGCGAGAAATCAAAAAGCTAATCAGTCGTGGTGTATACGACAAGGACGGCGAGAACCCGTTCGATCTCTTCGTATCGAGCACTGAAATCCGCTGGTGCTACTACAAGGAGTCGAAGAACATCTTGGGTCAAACCTATGGCATGCTGGTTCTGCAAGACTTCGAATCGCTTACAGCGAATCTCCTCTGCCGAACGATCGAAACCGTGGAAGGTGGCGGCATCATCGCCATTTTGCTCAAAACAATGTCGAGCCTGAAGCAATTCTATGGCATGGTCATGGTACGTTTTCTCCGTTTCCCCATTTCCTCACCCTCAGGATTGCCACGCCAAGTACCGCACCGAATCGCATGGCGACATCACCCCTCGTTTCAACGAGCGTTTCATCCTCTCCCTGTCCAACTGCTCCACCTGCATGGTCCTCGACGTTTCTCCCGTTTCTCCTTTTCACCTAGGACGAGCTGAACATCCTCCCTATCAACAAAAAGATCCTCACCATCGAGCCAATCGCCGCGTCCCTCGCCGACGAAGACGCGCACGAAACGCCCTCCCAGCGCGCGTTACACGCGAATCTGCAGCGCATCAACGCGGAGCTGGACGAGAAGACGAAGTCGCTGGACCTGAAATCGGCGGCCTTCGCGAACAGTCAAGTGCTTCGCGCGTTGACCGGATTGTGTCGCACCGCCGACCAGGCCTCCGCCGTCTACGCGATGCTCGACACATTACCGAGAAGACGCGGCAGACCACCGTGTCGGTGACGGCCTCCCGCGGGAGAGTGTGCATCACCGCGGATGATCAGATGTAGGGCAAGTCGGCGGCGCTGGGTTTGACGGTGGCGGGAGCGATCGGGTTCGGGTACAGCAACGTGTTCGTGACGGCGCCGTCGGCGGAGAACGTGCAGACGCTGTTCGATTTCGCGGTGAAGGGGCTGAAGGCGCTCAAGTTCGCGGAGCACACCGACTTCGAGGTGATCTATTCCCCGCGGGAGGAGCAGGCGCACTGGGTGGTGCGCGTGAACGTGTTTAAGACGCACAGACAGGTCGTGCAGTTCGTGGACCCCGCGGAGGCGTCGAAATTGGCGCAGGCGGAGCTGTGCATCGTGGACGAGGCCGCCGCGATCCCGCTGCCGCTCGTGAAGAGCCTGCTGGGCCCGTACATCGTGTTCCTCAGCAGCACGGTGACCGGCTACGAGGGCACGGGCCGCTCGCTCTCCCTCAAACTGCTCAACGAGCTGCGCAAGCAGGACGCGGGCAGTAGGATCGAGAATTGCGCTTCAGTTCGTAGCGGGAAAAACGCTTCGCGAGATCGAGCTGACGGAGCCCATCCGCTACGCGCCGAACGACCCTGTGGAGCGCTGGCTGTACTCCTTCCTCTGCCTGGACTGCACCGCCACGCCGTACCGCCTGCTCTCCGGCACGCCGCACCCCGACGACTGCGAGCTCTACTTCGTGAACCGCGACTCGCTCTTCAGCTACCACAAGCTCTCCGAGGCTTTTCTCCAGCGCGTCTGGGCGCTCTACGTCGCCTCCCACTACAAGAACTCTCCCGACGATCTCCAGCTCCTCTCCGACGCGCCCGCTCACATGCTCTTCGTCCTGCTCTCCCCGCGGCAAGACGGCGCGCTCCCCGACGTCTACTGCGTCGCCCAGGTCTGCTTGGAGGGAAATATCTCCCGCGAAACCGTCCAGCGCGAGCTGCAGAAGGGCGCGCGGTCGGCGGGCGATCTGATCCCGTGGATCGTCGCGCGGCAGTTCCTGGACAGCGACTTCTCGCAGCTGTCGGGCGCGCGGATTGTGCGGATTGCGACGCATCCCGACGTGCAGGGAATGGGCTATGGACGACGCACACTGCAGCTGCTGAGACAGTACTTCGAAGGCAAGATCGAGTTCACCGGAGACGACGAAGACGAAGACGATGACCGCGAAGATGACCGCGAAGATGACAAGATTGACAAGGTGGACGATGGGTCTCTCCACGAGGTCGCAAAACCGCGGAAACATCTTCCATCTCTCCTCGTCGCGCTCTCCGATCGGCGGCCCGAGCGCCTCCACGTTTCCCTGTTTCCACGTTTTGATGCGTAGTGGCTGGGCGTGAGCTTCGGCCTGACCGAGCAGCTGTTCAATTTCTACGAGAAGGAAGGCTTCGCGCCGGTGTATCTTCGCCAGACCGCGAACGAATTGACCGGCGAGCATTCCTGCGTTCTGCTTCGCGTTTCTTCTTTCTCCTTTCTCTCACTCGCAGCCTCTCGATTGCTCGGCATTGCCCGACGCGCCCAGCGACGGCTGGCTGGCGTCCTTCGTGGCGGACTTCCAACACCGCTTCATCAACCTGCTCGCCTTCCAGTTCCGCGCGTTCCCCGCGCGCTTAGCGCTCCGATTGCTCGCGAAGAAGCTCGTGCTCTCCGTGGCTGACGAGGCCCACAAAGACGTCTATGTTAAGCCGCTAACAGACACGGAGATCCGGTTCTTCCTCAGCAACGACGATCTGAGCCGGCTGGGGAGCTACGCGCGGAACTACGTGGATTATCACATGATTCTCGACACCATTCCCGAGATCGCGCGGCTCTATTTCAACCGGCGCTTCGGCGATCTCGCGATGAGCGCGCTGCAGGAAACCATTCTCATCGGACAGGGACTGCAGCACAAAACCATCGACGAGCTCCTCGCCGAGTTCCCCAAGGTCGCGTCGGCGCAGCTGCTCTCGCTGTTCAACCGCAGCGTTATTAAGATCTACAAGGCGCTCCAGGTACGCGATCCCCGCGGTTTTTTGAATGTAGAATACGCTGAGTCGGGAGGAAGAGGAAGAGGACCGGCAGAGAATGAAGGAGGAGGCGAAGGTAGCGAGTACGCTGAAGCCGCTGGAAGAGACGCTGGAGCAGGACTTGAAAAAAGCGGGGGAAAAAGTGGAATTGCAATTATCGAGGCAAATTTTGAAGGATGAAGAATTGAAGGAGTATCGCGTGGAGGGGACGGAGGAGGAGTGGAAGGACGCGTTGAAGAAGGGAGTGAACGGATTGGTGTCGATTCCGGTGAGTAAGAAGCGAGATGGAGATGATGCCGCGGGGAAGGGATCGAGCGGGAAGAAGTTTAAGAAGGGGAAGAAGGGACATAAGAAGCATTAAATCGTTGTTTTGCACTGTTTGTTGGAGAGATTCTTTCCTTTTTCGATGCTTTGGGATTTTTGGAGGCAAAAAAGGCGCGGATTCAAATTTGGCGGGGAGCTCAAAAACAAAGCCGCGTGCCGGTGATCTTTGGAAAGTCGCATCATTACGCTACCTAGAACCGATCGGAAAGAACTTACAGGTTGGCGGCAAAAGGGTGGAACGATTGTGCTGTAGGTATTCATGGAAACAAATTCAAGTGTTAAACAGCGCCCCAACTCACGGGGAAGATGGTCTGTACGGTTAAACAACGATTTGCTTGATCTGGTGCAAAAGTTTAGCTTTTCCTGGAGTGAAATTGCGCTCCGTCTGGGCTTTGATGAGGAAGTTTTTTTGTATTGGTGGATTCGATTGTAGGAGTGCATTCAACAGTATGACTATTTGATTCACCCAGAAAAGTATACATCGGCTTCGCAGACACAGGAGAAGAAGCAGTCGCGAGTGAGTAGGGATTGATAGCGAAGGTGATGGTAATGATTAGAGCGAGAGAGTGAGGAGAAGCACAAGCGTCGTAGGCTCAGACTGTAGATTTGTAATTTCTAGGATATGTTCGGAAGGCAATCCACACGCCATCCCCATCTCGTGTCTCTCAGCCGATTTTGCCTCCTGATTATTACAATTGGACGTCTGCCCGTCAAGCTGCTTGGAACGAAATTCCGTTCAACGCGAACGAGTATTATATGAAGTATCTGCCTCCTGGAATCGAGCCTTCGACTCGTTGTTGGGACGCAGAAGAGCGCAGCGAGTTTCTGAGTGCATTGAAAGTTGGAATCAATGAGCGTGAGTCAAGAATAGAACTATCCTCCGAAGGGGAAATGGGGTTTGTTCTCGCTGCACATGCTGGGGAGAACGGGAAAAGAGGTGAGGAAGGGAGGGCGAGTTGAGACGTAGTGTCAGCGGTATTTTGAGCGTGAAGTGCAAGGGAAGGAAGAGGGTTTTATGGAGCAGAAGGAACAGAAGGAACAGAAGGAACAGAAGGAACAGAAGGAACAGAAGGAACAGAAGAATGAAACTGTGGAAATTGTAAAGGAAAAGCAAATGGAAAGCGAAGAACCGAGCGAATTGAAGAGAATGAACGAGGAAGAAGTCGAAGTGGAAATCAAAACGAAAGACGCGGAGTCCTTTATGATTGTGGAATGCAAAGAAGCTGAGGAGGTGAAGAAGAATGCTGAGGAGGTGAAGGAGAACGATGAAGAGAAAGAAAGGATGCTGATTGAAAGCAAAGAGGAGTCAAATAGTCCTCTTTTTTCTTTGGAACAATCACCTTCTCTCCCTCCAAATCCATTGGAACAGCCCGATTTGCAGAGTCATTCTCTTTGCGAAGCTCCTTTTGCCGCTGCTGCTGCTCCGATCTTGTCTGAAAATCCTCCTCTAACCGAAAATCTCTCCGAAATTGAACATTCAACAGAAACTGATTTGAAGAATTCTGTGCAACCCACCGATTTGAAAGACGATTCGTGTGACAGTCTCCCTCTCTTCTTGAATGAACCGATAAATTCTCCATGGGTGCATTCACAAGACACTTCATCCGTTCATTCGAATCACTCGCAAGAGATTTCTTCGTTGGACATTTCTCCCTTGGAAGAGAATCATTCCATTCCTCCAAAATCACCGTCGCATGTCAGTCAGGAAGAAATGGAGGTTCTCTCCCAATTGTTTACAGCTTCAGAAACCAAGAATCGATGTGTGATTCGACACAACATTGTGTTTAGCGAGTCGGATACGCCCAGTATCACTGCTTCTCCGACTTGTCCCAAACCAATCGCTACTTCGCTTCAGGGCGAAAAAGCAGAAGGAAAGATTGCGTTTAGCCCCAAAGCGAGTGAAAAAGAAGCGGAGGTTGTGGAATCGAATGAATTGCAGAAGAGTTTATTCGTGCCCAGTGATGAAGAAGATAAACCTGAGAATAGTTCTGTATTGGACAATTTGTCGATTACTGCACAACCTGTGGATTCTTTCCATATGAAAGAGCTGCAAGAGAATCATTCTTCTGTTGGTGGAAGCAGCAAGGCAGAAACGGATGAAGTGGAAGAGATTTCGTTCGATCTTCCCATGTCCTCTGAGGTTTCTTGCGTTTTCCCAACGCTTTCCAATGCCATCACCACCACAACAACAACAACAAGAACTACTACTACTACTACTACTACTACTACTACTACAATCGAAATGGATTCGGTTTCTAGCAAGCCAATGGAAGTCACACCCACACCTGAGAATGCAATGGATATCGAACCGAAATCTACTTCCGAAAAGGCAGAAACGGAAGAGAAGCAACCATCGAAACCTCAAGATTCCTCCTCTCCTTCCATTTGCCATGCTGAAATCAATCCAGCAGACCTCATGACTCCTCCACGCAGTTCATTGAAACGCCCCATCCAAATCACGCAGGATCACTCAACCTTGGATCAATCCAAGATCGTGTCAGTGGCTGTTCCAAGACCTCCGGAAGAGTTTGAGACTCCCAAGAAGAGGAAGAAGGATGTGGCGTCAACAACGATCAGTCCTACGAAAGTCGTGGATGAATCTGAGTTTACAGTCGAAGAGAACTCATCAGTTCAAGAAGAAAAAGGAGAGGAAAAGGAGGATGGTTTCCCCGATTTATCGATGTTTTCTCCACTTGGAGGAAGGAAGGTCACCTATTCTTCCAGCATAAAACGCCTCTTAAAAGACCTGGAAGGCGAACGAAATCGATTCCGATCGCAGTTCCAAACCCAAATCCAAGGTTTGCTCACCTCTTTCGAAGAAGAGCAAAATCATAGCTCAACGGTAATCATCATTTCTCCTTCTTCATCATGCATAGAAGCATATTTCAGCTATTCAGCAACACTATCAATCGGAATATGTTGGTGCATTGCATCGAATTCACTTGTAGAAACGACTTTGCCGCTGCCTGCAGATTCAATACAATTCGCTGATCGCTACGCAGCTCACGCGTCTTCATTATTACGGCGTGAATATTGAGAAGAAAAGCCTATACAATCTCCAGTTCCCTGAGTTAACGTTTGCAATCAACTTGTGTTTTCTTGTTTATTCCAACAAACAGAAAATCATGTTTGTGATTTGATGATTCCAAGATCAAATACTATGACTTAGACTCCTCCGTCCATAATTTTATCATCCCTTGAATCAGCACGCTTCTGTCTACCAGCCATCATTCCTCCAGGCATTCGCAGAACACACAGCATTGAAATGATCACAATCACTCCCGAGCACGAGGTCACATAGAACGGCAAGTTCGGATTGACGTGGCTCAACTTCCCCATGGCTAGCGGAGCCAAAATCATCGCCATCTGCCCAGCCATCATGTTATAACTCAAAATTTGCCCTTGAATACTTGAAGCGGAGATAGACTACAATCGATTTCAATCATTCAATGCGCACGCTGATGATGCTAGCAGGCGCTGGCGTGGAAAAATCATAACCCAACTCATTCACAACACATCCAATGATCGAAAGAGGGAGGGATGTACTTCCTCCCATCAAGAAGTTCGCTACAACTACGCTTCAATTACTATTGTAAGAAAGCGAACTTTGGAAGATCCCAGCGCCAATAGAAATAAACGGGATCGGAATGTTGCAGCGGAACACTAAAAATTGATAAATGAAGCCGTTGATGGTGCAACTGATGCAGCCCAAACACGTCACCAAAATTCTATGCAACAAAAGAGAGAAAAAGAGTCGAACGCAAATTGTGTGGAAGTCATTCCGAATAATTTGTTCGCGAACGTATTGTAATAAGAGTCCCATCCGTTGATAATCCACCGGTTGCAGAACTCCACAATCATACACGCAATCTACCACGACTTATTTCAAACAAACAAGGAGCGTACCACCATCGGCGGAAAGAGCCGTTTGAGATACGCATAACTGAATTTTTGTTTTGTTTTACTGATGGAGAGAGTGAAATCCAAAGACTCGTGAAGAAACAGGCATACTAAAATGAGGTTGATCGCTGCCACGACTCCAGCAACGATAAACGGAATGCCAAGACCCAGTTCACCCAAAAAACCACCAACTGCAGGTCCAAAAATATAAGCTGCAGCTAAAAATGCTTCTAAGCGTGCCATGTACTTTGACCGTTCGTCGACGGTGGTACAATCTGCGATGTAGCTACGATTGAAACCATGAGAAGCAGGTACGCTTGAGCCACAATCCATGATCCCGCAAACAACCCCGTGATAGCACGGAAAATAATCAATGCCCAAATATTTTTCGCGAGACCTTGCGCAATGGCTCCTAAAAAACATAGTTTCCAATTTCGACTACCAGCTGAAGATCCGATAAGGGAAAGGATTAAAAGTGGTTTTCTTCCAATTTTATCACTAAGACGACCCATATACAAATAACCTAGAATGAAGAGAAACAAGAAAGACGACTCACAAGTTGAGTTACAGCATAGCAGGAGAACAAGTACGTTGTGTGGTCAACCGTTCCACCCAGAGATTCCGAGAGAGACGCCATTATCGGTAAAACGATGGAATACCCCAAGATATCAAGCAAGACCGTGATATCGACCAGCAGAATGTTGAGTTCCTTTCGAGAAAGCATTGTTCCATATAGTGGTAATTAATTGATTATTTGAATTGAACATTATTATTCGCTGATTGTGTATTTGTACTATCAAGGTCAGAGAAAGGATTGAGAGTGTGGCACTTGAGGAGATAGGAAGAGGGAAAAAGTGAAATTCAACAAAAAACCAACATGAGTGTACAGACTACATCACGCACATTCTTCTCCAGTCGATCCAAATACCTCTAAAAGTTACGCAAAATCACAAACTTCACATCCACCAATTCCTTCGGAATCGTTTCATAAGACCGATACTCCATTGCAGTCGCGTATTTCCGGATGAAATGCACCAAATTCGCCTTCAAGTACTCACAGAAAAACGGAGATTGCATCCAATGGTCCTTATCCGCCACCAACTTACGATTCACTTCATCAATCATGTTTTGGACATAGCTTGCGCGAGCTAAAATGTACGCATCCGCCATATCAAAGCAGTCATCCGAAAGTCCCGGACCACGCTTCTTTTCTGGCCAATGAATCATGTCTTGTGTGTTGTGTTGAACGTACTGCAAAACAATCTTCTTCGTTTCCTGCCGATCTCCAGCAGATTTCACTGAAAGCAGAGAACGTGCAGTGGATGGATGGAGAGTGATGGGAGGCGATCCAAACATTTCCCAACACTTGAACTGAATGATTCCATTGATTTCTGCAAGATAAAACAGACCTTGGGTTCGAAACGAGGTTGAACCAAACATTTTCAAGTATTCCTCAACGACAATTCTCCAATCCGCAGGGTGCTCGCTTGCCTGAGGATCCACTGACAGAATGGAGGATTGGATTTGACGAAAGAGAAACGCAGCCGAGGTAAGGCTGTTTCCTTTGCAAGATTTATCGGGATGAATTGCTTTACATAAGAGAACTTTGTCTAGAATTGTAACTTGTCGGATAAAGGCTCACTTTGATTTGATAAGATACAAATGCCAGTGCTACTCGAACTAACATCCAATCCAACATGAAATTTTGCAGTAGAGACAGATCCAATGACCTTTTTCACCATATCTTCGACCATATTCGAAGTCGGCCAGAGCTTTCGATATCGCAAAATCTCTTCCACCGAAGAGAACATTTTATTGTTACAAAGAAATTGAGAGTAGAGTTCTTGAAGAGCGCGGGACATGGCGAAAAACTCTACTCCTTTCCACTCCAAGACAGAAATCTATTCGCGTGGTTCACCCATTATTCTATTCAAAACAAATTGATTCTTCTTGTCAGATGTGTCAGAGAACAAACAAGCCAAACCACTAAACTACTTTCGCTTGCTATTCAAGAAACTGCGAATTCTTCCGATCACAGACCGCATCGCTGGTGCCTGTGGATGCTCCACTCCCTTCTCGTCTTTGCCAAACTCCTCGATTAATTTTCTCTGAGAAGGCGTAATATTTCTAACCATAAACTTTTCCCGCCAAACCGTACTTTGGAATGTGCACATTAAAAGTTATTATTTGATCTCCCACATGCGACCCGCGCATCGGTTTGATTCCCTTATCCCGCAGACGCATTCGTGTGTTGCACTGGGTACCTGGCGGAACATGCACATCGACTTCGCCACTAATCGTAGGAACTGTGATCGTGCCTCCCAGAATAGCCGTCGTTACCGAAATCGGCACCGTGCACATGATATCGCCTCCCGCCCGAGTGAAAAACGGATCTGGCTGAACGTTCACGTCAATGTACAAATTCCCGTTCCGCCCGCCTTTGATTCCCTGGTTTCCCTGACCGGCAAGCCGGATCGTGTCGCCGTTGTCGATTCCCGCAGGAATCTTCACGGTGATCGTGGAAACGCGATGCATCTAATCATCAGACTGCACATCACAAGGAATACTGTTCCACTGCCACGACATTTGGGACAGGGCTCCGTGTTGAGAGTCCCTAATCCGTTACAATGGGGACAAGTCGACATGGACATCATGATCCCGCGGTTATTCTACCACTCACAGAAAACGGCCACTCCTACATAAATGACCCCTTTTCCCTGGCAATGCGGACACTTCTGCGTCTTATTATGCGGTCCCTACAAATGACCCCGATTTCTGGAATTCCACATTTCCCGACCCATGGCAGGCATCGCAGGCGACCTCCTTCTGCACGCGGATGTCCCGCTCGCACCCGTTGATGCAGTCCAGAAAGGGGATGGACACGCGCACCGAGATATCGGACCCATCGTTATCTATCTGCGGCTGGAAGCCTCCGAAGCCGCCAAACCCGCCGAAGCCGCCGAAGCCGCCGAAGCCCTGCGCCTCCGACCCGAAGATGTCGGTGAAATGGCGCAGGATCTCATCGATGTTGGCCGCGTTGGCCTGGTAGCTCGCGCCGCTCTCGTCCATGCCGGCATGACCGAACTGGTCATAGCGCGCGCGCTTCTCGTCGTCTTTGAGAACCTCGTACGCCTCGCTCACTTCAATGAACTTCTGCTTGGCGTTCTCGTCGCCCTACGGATGAGAGAGAGCCATGAGCGGAAACCTTGTTGGTGTCGGGGTGGTATTTCTTGGCGAGCTCGAAATAGTGCTTTTTGATCTCCGCCTTCGAGGCATCTCTGGGAACACCGAGAACCTGGGAATGAGGGAGAAACCGAAAGAGTACTTCGTAGTAATCGCGCTTGGAGTGGGGAACCGTGGAATGGAAGGAACGCACGTTCCATGACGCCATCTGTTTGTTACACACGGAAGAAAATCGAATTACGATGGAGCGCGCGGGGTAGGACTGAAACGAAACACTGAGAGGAGCACACATCGCATGAGCATAGCGAGTGCTCACAGCAAAGGCTCGAACACTCCGAGTCACTGCTGCAGCACTTCTACAGCAAAATCGATACATAAATTCAAAAATAATGAGGTTTCAAATTGTTCGAGAAACGTCGAACTGGGTTTGCTTCCATAATTCAATGCAAAGAATTCGATAGGTGGAACTGTTCCTGTTTCTCTCCTAAAACGCCCGGGAGCCGTAAGAAGGGCTCGAAAGAAGATGATATATATTTTCTGGAAAATTATAGAAAAACGAGAATTCTGCAATCTCTAGATTATATAACTGAGACTTGTCAAAGTGACAACTTCGCTTTCACAAAATGTTCTGGCTTTCGTCCTCGAAAGGGTCGCAACGGGGCGAACACGATATCGAAAGCTATTTGAAACGTTTAGAAACAGACATCGATGATGGAAATCGAGAAGACATCCAAGATATCATTTCCAAACTCATAGGTAAATCTGCCTTTCTAGTGTAATTCCAGAGTTGACATACGATGCCGATTCCACGGATATTCTTCACATCCTCAGCTTCATCTCCGTCCGGATCTCCTCTCTAAGCGAAGTGTGTTGTCAGGAACTACTACCTTTGTTGTTTCACTTCCTGGATCAAGAAGACTCCGATATTATGTATTTCGTAACTTTTCTTGGAATCGAATTCTTTTTCTAGACGATTTCGATTCTTCGAAATATGATCGAATATCCCATTTCTCTAATTCTGGTAAATACCATCTACAATACTCTGCACACCGTGTTTTCCACCAATTCCTTCTATGGCTGTCGTGCAGTCGCCCATCTCATCGCCCCCCTCTATGAGCGATATTCCACGATCATTACCGAAACACCCACGCCCGATTTGGAGCCTTTTCGAATCATTTCAAGTAGTGCCTTGAAGGAATTGCGATCCATTTTCTTTCAGCTGTGTAATGACGACCGACTTCTTGTGCGCAGAGAAGCAGCCAAGCAGTTTTCTACCTGTCTACATGCGTTTGGATCGCAGTATTATTCTCAGTTTGTACAGCTAATGCGAACTTTTGTGAGTGACGATGTTTCCCTAATTTCATCACGCTGACTCTTTAGAATTCGGTTGTGTACGTTGTTGTTCCTTCGTTCCCACTACTCTTCCAGTCCATTCATCAACCCTCAATGGTGAGTGAACTGACCAGCAGCTTCATCAAATGCTTGCAATCCGACTCGATTCGCGTTCCAATTCCGTGATAGAGTCATCGATAGATTCAAAAGGAAGCTGCAAAGCACTTGGAGGCGATCGGAACGAGTATAGGGAGTGAAATGTACTGTTCCACTTTGTTGAATCCTATTTTGTCAATGATTAAGGACGGAGCTCTTTTTCTCATCCCGCACCTCCATTGGATTTTTGGCTTTATTCCGAAAGAGACTTTCAAGGAAAAGGTGTTTCCCTATTTGACGCCTCTGATCAATAAAGATGAGCCCTATAGACTGTATACGAATTTCCTTTTTCAATGTTTTGTGTAGTGAGTTGATCACGCCCTTAATCGTCGAATTGATGGAGAATGATGCTTCTCTTGCTCAGCCTTTGTTCGATGCCTTATTGGAAACCCAAAGCGAGTTTGTTTGCAGATATCTCATCGATCATTTGTCACCTTCGTTTTATGATGAATCGATTTTCGACACAATCCTTTTTCAACAAGAGAAGTTGCAATCATCATGGAGAGTAATATTCGGTAGTCAGTTGTCCATACATAGTGGCGAGAAAGCATCGCAAAGGCGATGGGAACTCTGCTCAAGGCGTTGCAAACCATTCATTCCAATCGTTTGAACGATCTAAAGCAATATGTAGGTCGTCTCTATACCCTGATATTGAGCATGTTCACTTGTTTTCTGATAATGTGCATGCTGTACGAAGAGCTTGCGCAGCGTCAATCACGGATGTGATGGATGCACTGAAAATCGATGACTTCAAAGACGAATTGCTTCCTTCGCTCATTTCTCTCTACAATTCAAGTGGGAACTATCAAATACAATCGAATCTGCTTTACACTTTTCAAAACGTTTTACTCTCACCCCTGCTTTCTTCCAATCAGGACTGGACTACCGAGATTCAAACCTTGTTGATTAAAGAGCTCTCTGTATTCATTGAATTCTCTTGTGTATGACTAGAATCCAATTCCCAATATTCGATTCATCACTTGCAAGGTGATCGGCAAGACATTCGAACAGTTTCCTCCCGATTTCCAGAAGGAATATGTAGCGAATCATACCATGGTAGTCACTAGATTCTTCCTAAATTGAAATCACTCACTCGAGATGAGGATACAGATGTTCGCTTCTACTCTTCCATTGCTTTGGAGCGAATGGCAGTTGTATCCTAAGTTGTACGTACTAATTGTTCTATTCTGTGTAACTAAAATTGGAGTTTGTTCAGAAAACATTCATTTCAATCGTTTTCTTATGCTCTCTTTCGCAAAGTGTTTGGTTCCGAGAGGAGGCTGTCGCTTATGTAAAAATGAACACGTTCTGATGACATGTAGTTTCTTCCAAACTTGGTCGTGTTATTACCAGTCAGTCCGCCTATTTAGTGAGTGAAGAAACCCCTGTACAGTGTAGTTTTGTGAGTTGATGCTCATAGCTTACTCCCTTCTTTACCAAGGCCCCGTCCTTCCAAGAGATCGATAAACCAAAATTATGGATCAACGAAGCTATGGAAAAGTAGGAAAGAGCTCTAGGTATGAAAGTGTAGTCTGAAGTCTGTGGATGATGGTGTTTCGATCCTCCGTGAATTTAGACAAAACAAATATTTTATTAACAAGAAAGCGATTCGTATAGAGTGTTTTCTTTGTGTAATCCCTGTAGGTACCTTTATTGAAGTCGGTTCCAATCTGGACCTGTTAAAAACAGTGAATGGTACCCTATTGATTTGTGTGCATTCTCTAATTCCTAGCAATTTGTGATCCTGCCCTTGACATTGTTCCCAGCAAAAAGATGTATGGAATTCTGATGGTATTCGTTATCTATATTAGCAATTACTATTAGAAAAAGCTGAATTCCACACAGAACGGAGATTATGCAGATCGTGGTTGTCTCTGCGATTTTTGAAGTGTAGGTTTGAAAAAGCGAATGGAAGAGTCGTCTGTATCTGCTGCTCCGAGCGAAGAGGAGGTTTACACCCCCTACGAGCATCTGCGAACGATCAAAGAGGACTCGGATTTCTTCGCAATCGAGCCGCAAATCGATTTGGAGCGCGATATTCTCTCTCAATCCACACACTAATTTGATCTTGTGTTTGTTGGTATACGGAATTGAATGTTTTGTGACTGTTCTCGACAAAACGAGGACTACAATGCAGAAATGATAACTGAACGGTGTATTGTCTGGAATTCATGATTCGATTTGCACAGAAGCCACAAGAAATGGACTGGAACAACACACCAAACCTCATTCTTTCATGTAAAGCAATGTCTAGTGAGAAGCACCGCTTGCTTTATTTCCTCTCACAAATCCTCTTCGGCTCTGCCAACCCCATTTATCCACTTCCATTCCTTTTTCTCTCATTTCTTTCAAACAAACAATCCACTGGGTCAGAGCATTCACATACGGCGCGATTTCCTCTTCGCTCAATTCGCGGAACGGCAAATCCACTCCCACCACGGCTACCGAGCAGTTTTCCTTTGTCAGTTTCTGCATCACACTCCTTTCTTCGCTTCCTACTGAATCGCCCTGCACGCAGCCCTTCAACGCATCCAGCACGATGTTAATCAGCTCGTCGAGCGTCACTGCTCTTCACTCCATTCCATTCCATTCATACAATCATCGCTCACCGTCACCACGTTCGTTTCTTCGTTCAAAAAACGTCGAGACAGAGCTGTCTTCGCGCTCTGGCTGCGAGAACCGATCGTACACGCACTGTATTCGAGGTACTCGCCAGAGGGAGATGTATGGAAGAGATGAGGACCTTTGGACTAGAAGGAAATCAACGAAAGAAGGAAAGAAAAACGTCCACACCGCCGATCAACAAACCAACACCGTAAGGACGACGTTCGTATGTGAGAGTACAGAAATGCTCTTCTAGACATCAGAAAAAAAGTATTTTTAAAAAATCACTCTCTGCTACTTGACGAACCAGCATCTCCATAGGCATCTTTCTTCCATATACGTACTCGTGGTCCATGCATTCTGTTCTCATATATCTAATGGTGGTCGCAACCGAAAGTGAAATACTTCGATAGTGCTCTCGCATCTGCAGTTAAACCGGACATTGCGATTCCCATGTGTGTATCGATTTCTACGATCTTTCGTTGGTATGAAGCAAGCTCGTTTGGCCGTCTATTCAATTATCCAACCAAAATACAGAGTACCTGCGGAAAGCACCGAGAACGACATATTTATTCGTACGAATTCCACAACATGCACTTCCTTGCTTTTCGGCTTCCGTGGCATATTTTACCTAAACTATACCATGAAAGCGAAGTTTCCGACTTGATGTAGTTTTCCTTCGGGAGACCAAACCGTGACATCTGTATCGTATTTATTTCCGTGCATCGATATCGAATGATCTAAATTGATAGAAGAAGTATGCCCCAAATATGAGCTATTTCAAGATTTTGAATAGTCATTTTCAAGTCAATTGATAAGCAGTAATATGGTAAGCAGTATCATTCGTTTTGTTACATCAAGAAATCGTTTCTGGTATTCGGAAAAAACGGTTGGATTGGAGGGCAGGTAATTAAGCTTCTGGAGGATCGCGGATTCACGGTCTACCGAGCTGAATCCAGATTGGAGAATACGCAGGATGTATGCGCTGAATTGGATAAGTACAAGCCGGACTATGTTATTAATGCCGCTGGACTTGTAAAGAATAATAATTTCTTGCTGATCATAGACGGGAAGACCGAACGTCGACTGGTGTGAGTCCCACAAGGAGGATGTTGTGAGGTAGTTCCAAGCGTGTTTTCTCACGATCAGAGTCAATGTTGTCGGCACTGTGGCTCTGACAGACGCATGTTTCCGCCGAAACATTCCCTGCACTGTCTATGCTACGGGTTGCATCTATGAAGTATTTATTTCATCCCGCCAATCCCATAGTACGACGCTGAACATCCTCTGGGCAGCGGCAAAGGCTTCACTGAAGAAGACGAGCCCAACTTTTCTGGCAGCTTCTACAGTTACACCAAAACAATGGCCGAAAAGGTTTCCTTTTTCTCCTCTCAACTCACCACCAGCTTCAAAAGGTGTACTCGAACGTGCTGATCCTGCGTGTGCGCATGCCCATCTCGGACGACCTCTCCCCGCGGAACTTCATAACAAAAATCAGCAAATACGAGAGAGTGGTGAACATTCCGAACTCGATGTCGGTCCTGTACGATCTTCTTCCGATCAGTATTGAATTAACGCTCCATGATTGTCGTGTATCCGAATCGAACTCGATCGAATGTAGGGAGTATACAACTTTACGAATCCGGGAGTGATCTCGCACAACGAGATTTTGGATTTGTACAAGAAGTACATCGACGAATCGTTCACGTACAAGAACTTCTCTTTGGAGGAGCAGGCGAAGGTGCTGGCTGCGGGACGATCGAATAATGAATTGGATGCAACCAAGTTGGTTACAAAGTGTAGAGAATTGGGTCTGGAAGTCCCGCCCATTAAGGAATCTATTGTGCATGTGTTCGAACGAATGCAGGTGAATCTTGGCTTGAAGAAGAATTGCTTTGTTTGTTTTATAATGCCAGACGAAGAAAGAGTAATGACTCGTATACATTAGAAGTGTCTTGATTGTTTCCTTTCATATTGAATTTGTGGAGGCCCATCCAATCTGTAATCCACTCCAGCTAGTGTTTTTTGGGGAATTTTGATAAACGGCATTCGATCTTTGTGAAGATGAACCATATTGCTGATTTGGAGAGTTGTTAACATTTGAATCTTTTCGTTCAGTAGATTATTATAAAAATAGTGAGCATAGACTTTGGAAACATGTACCACTACTAATTATTGGATAACATCAGTAGGTAATCCCATGTATAAAATTGGATGCTATTTCAGATTGTTTCACAGAGGATCAAAGGTTTAAAAGTGTAACCCTATGAATCTTGATGAACACAGAGTTTTCGATGCTTTTTTCTTAATCTGTTTCTCATTATATACAGTGAATCAAACTTTTTAAATGAAGAAAAATGTACAATAAGAATTATATGCTGTCTGATAAGTTGATCTTTTGTTGGAGTCTGTTTAATTACCATCACTTGGCGATAGTTTCATGTGAATAATTTATTTCACAGGAATGAATACGATATAAACAAGCATTGGGGTCATTGCGAGGCAGTATTCCTTGCCATACTTTTCTTTTTTGGTTAATTTTTAAGTAGTACTCTATATCTAGAGTTTGAAAGAAATGAAGAGCACTATTTTCAGTAGGCGGTTATTTTTGCAACTAACATAACTCGAATGCATTTGGCGATTCGTTGTACATATTTGATGGAATTTTGTATCGTGAAGGATAGAGGTTAAGGTATAGGAGAATAGTGTAATCAAAAACAAGAATTGGAGATGGTTCAGTTATTTTAAGGAGTTTTATGTAATTAAGAATTATATTGCTTTTTATGATTGTGAGCAAAAAGTACTAACTCTTGGTTATGTTATTGGACTTTATTATCAAGTAAACACACGTTGTTTGAATACAATCTGCGCTGAGAAAAACACGATTACATTATTCAATATTGATTGATCTTAACACGAATGGGTACAAGGTTCAAGGAACAAGCATGTTCTCTCAGATAATCAAGAATGTTTGTTTTGCTTCTACTAGTGTGAATATAAAGGTTGGTAAACATTTGGTGAAATATCCTGTATTCTGTGTAAATGATAATGATTTCTAGGATCAGATCATGACTTGAACTTATAATTATGATACGAGCTATGCAAAGGATGCTGTTTAATGCCCTCAAATTGGAATTGGGAAGTAAGTAATTAGAAACAATAATATCTTGAACCTTATCCGGCATATAATAACCCTAATTGTAATAGTTATGAATTTGGGAAAAAGAAGACATGATCAACAGAAGAATTTGTGTGTAGTATTTCCTTTTGTTTAGTTGACATATGATCAATTAAACCCTTTGACAAAGCATTATTATTGAAAAAAGAAAATCGCAAGTTTCGATACTCTTCTACGAAATTTCAGATATAGAGCAATTCATATTGTTTCTTTATGGTAACTTTCATATATATATATATTTAAAAAATGACATTAAATGCTTTGTGCAATTATTCCTTATCACATGTTGTTTCTTTAATTTCTTGTATATTTGATGATCCATTGACTATTTCCATATATATATAATATTAGACTAAGTGTATATTGGAAAAATAGCAGTAAGTTTGAGTAATGATAGGTGGTAAGTAATAGTACTTGTTAATATGTGTTTTATACTCTGTATACACAAAAGATTCTATGCTAAAAACACTTGAGCGGAAAACGCTGTATGAACAAACGTAATAATATGAACTATGTTTATTCTATTATAATTTACAAGAATTATACTAATAGTGCAGTATTTTTGGTATATGAGAAGAATATTCTTTTTCTATTTAAACAAGATCTCTTTTTGTGTTTTTAGGTTTTTCTCATATTTCTTTTTAGTTCCATGCAAAAGTTTGCTGATTTTGTCAATTCTGTTATTAGTAACTATCATATTGATAGTTCCATTATTCAAAATGTGCAAGGATGCTTGGGTAAACAAATGAAACTAAATGGCTGGATTTCACTCATTTTGATTAATAGACAATGTGTAGTATTGCAATTCAATAATGGAGTATTCATGAATCAAGGATTTGTATTCAATGAGCAGAAAGTGTTGAAAGTGATTGGAAATCATCAAATTGGTGCTATTTCATATAATGAACAACAATCCATTGTAGTAGTAGAAGAAGGAATCGTGGATTTGGATCATGGAAGTCGATTTGAAGGCTTGGTATTGACAGAAAACAAGTTTGGAATTCCATTTGGATATGGTGAAATGTATGATGATGATGGAATATTGGTGTACAAGGGCATAATGATCAATTGGAAACGATTTGGATATGGAACGAGTTATCATAATAATGGATGTATTGAATATGAAGGATATTGGTGTGATGATAATCGATTTGGAATTGGAAAAGTGTATGATCGATATGGTAAATTAGTGAATGAATGTGAATGGTATAATGGAATTGAAAGTGATATTGAAGAATATGAAGGAGATGGAAGCAAACCAATGAATATCGGAATCAAACATTTGAAACTGAGTGACAATTGTGTATTGGTTGATTGGGATGTTTCATTGTTGTATAATTTAGAATCAATCGAAATTGGCAATGATTGTTTTGGATCAGTGAAAACATTCAAAATCGATGGATTGAATCGATTGAAAACTATCAAAATTGGCAAGAACTCATTTACTCAGAAAAGGAATCAATATGGAAATGATGAATCGAAATCATTCCACATATTGAATTGTGAATCATTGGAATCCATTCAAATTGGTCGATGCAGTTTCAGTGATTTTGGAGGCGACTTTGAATTGAAGAATTGTACACAATTACAATCCATTCATATTGGTACAATTGAAAGTGATTCATACAATTTCTATTATAGTTCGTTTGTAATTCGAGGTATTAAACTAATAACAACTGTGTGCTGTAGATTTGCCTAATGTTAGAACTATTCTTCTGGGCAGTAATGCATTTTCTCGCGCCAAGTTGATTGTGTTTGAAAGTATGAAACACATAATAGTTTATAAAATGTGTAGATCTTCCTTATTTACGTCATATTGAACTAAGTTGCTCGGCACTATATGGATCATATGATTCCACGAATTCTATAATTCTGAGGAGTAGATAGTCAAAGGTTTTTCTATTTTAGATCTTCCAGGTTTGAAAATAAATGATAATAAAAGAGGAGATTCATTTTACGGATTCAATATCATTGTTCTGGATAGTAGACAAAAATGATTAATGATATGGCTTAAATAACCCCAATATCGAGTGAGTTGATTTACCTACTGCATTCTGTTATACTGGTAAAATGGAAATTAATAGTTACCAAAGCTTCTATATATTTATTGATTACATATGTCTACTATTCTATTAAATGCTTAGAATACTGAATGACGATCGACTAGTTTTGGTAATTGTTGTATCATGTTTGTTACACTTTCTATTCTTGATTGAAAATATACATATCCCAACGAAATTACTACTTTGTGAAACAAAAACGATATAAAGATATCTTATCTGTTACTCCCACAAGCAACTGATCTTCGGATATTGCTATCCCAACAAAATTCTCTGTGGTTAGAATTTGGTCAATATCGCCTTTTTGGACATAGAGTGGATACGACTCTGCGTTAATCTGTCCTGCGTAATGTCCCTCGATTAATTCTCCATTGGAGTTGCCAGAATACTCTTTTCCTTGTACTAAAGGAATCGTTGTTTTCACAACTCCACTAGTGACTACAGTTGCAGTCGTTGAAGTAAGTGAAGAGACGACTCCTAAAGGAGAAGCGTAAATCTCTCCCACATGGATCTCTCCATGGGCCCAGTCCTAAAGAATTATTATCACATTATCTACCAATACAGCTCCTCCATTTGTCGTAAGTGATTCCATCACAAAAAAGCGGTGTGCTGTGGTTGGCGCAAGATTTGTCCAATAATATGATCGGTCAACATCGCGTGCTGCTGGTGAAATTTGGAATTCAGGACCAAAAGGAATGAGATCTCCAGCAGGAGTCACATCTACAATGGAGAGTACAGGAGAAGTCATGGCAGCAACATCAGCATAATAAACCTAATTATTATAAAATGATTCACAAAATCCTACACCAAATCGAGTGGGGGAGAAGGCTCTGCACTTGATAAACGAGTATAAACCTCCCGTTGTTGACTGAGCCCCACTATTCTGGTGATAGATGGAACTGGCGACAGTAAGTTTGTCGGTTTTCTCACTGTACTTGAACAAAATCGATTCCATTGCGTTCATTAAGCCTTCGTTAATGAATGTCAGAACAACGGTCTGCTCGTCCAAACTACACTTTATACAGTACAAAAAGACGTCTACTGTGCCATATCCATAAAACCAAAGCTGTTCTGATCAATTGTATAGATCTCTCCAACAGAAACACTCAAATTAGCATGTAATGTTCCTAGTCCATAGTGAATTCGAGAATCTGTTTTCTTGCTATTTTTATCCATTGCTTCCATCTGCCTTTCAGCATTATTCAATAGGGTGCTCTTTCCCATTTGCGAAGAAGCGGACCACCAAGGAACGCGAGCATGAACTACCATGAATTTCGTTCCAGAAAACCCAATGATATCATGGAAAATGTAATCATCAGAATACTCGTGTATTTCACCCCATCTCATTTCCATGCCATTATCATTATCAGTGAGACATCCAGCTACAAGAGTAATCCTGTTGTTTACTCCATAATACGATATGACTGCACATGTATCGTTCAATACTCTCATTTCTGGTTGAATAGTCATCATGGGTATCGGCTGAGTGATTTTTCCGAATTCAACTTGAATAGAATTGTTCACATATTCAACACGACAAGGTACGCAATGCTTATTTCCTAGAGAAAGAACGATATTGCCATTTAACACTATTAGATCATCGATATTATGTGAAGAGCCTTCGATAATAGGAAGAGGAAATGTCTCGGTAGCAATAATAGCATCCGTATGGGGGTCTACTACAGAAACTAGCATTTCACTATCGTATTG